AGATTTTTCTCAGGAGAAATCAAGGATCTTTTCCAACATAGAAAAGATAAAATTTGCGTTGATATCAATATATAATCCTGTAACTGTCGTTGGCATATTGTGTTTTTCTAAGTTCTGGATCATGAAAGCTACACCTGCATCAGATTCAGTTGCAAGGGGACCGACCGAGGCACCTATATATATAGAGAAAAATCCCCAACTACTCGAGAGTTTTGGGTTGATACTCGAAAGTGCCGTCCCACTTGTATTCTGATCTTCAAGCATGATGTAGGTTCCCCCGAAGCAAAATAGCACTTCTTACGGTGGGTATATTCTAACGCTTATTACGTTTGCTCCAGTGATGTTGCGTTTCTTCTACCTATCCCCTAATAAATGCATTAATAGAATGTAGATAATGCATTGTACTTGGGGTGATAAGTTCAACTACATATAGATCAAAACTGAATTGTGATCCTTGCTTAATATTGTCCATCTCGCTAGGGATGAGAAGCTTTTCATAGCACTTACAAAACAATAGAGTTCAAAATGCTCGAGTGAGGCATACTCCAGCGTGCTTTGTGCTGGAATTTTATGGGGTAGAGCTTATGCAGTGCAAGATACATGGAAAATATAGTATTCCTCACCCATATATTGAAAACGATAAATTCTAAACTTACTATTTATTTTGATTGTTATGCTTTATTTGACAAACAACATAAAGTCGTGTGTCAGCATTCAGCTTAATTTTCCCCTATTCTGGGGCTTTAGGACATGATAATTCAGTTCTTTCATCGTTTCATTTTAATCTCCATCACTTAATATCGATCAAATGTTTTTTTATGATTCAGATGACTACAGGCATCCAGCTCTCTTACTTGTTGATGGAGTGTCCTCCATTTGTGCTCTTGATTTCCGTATGGATGAATGGGGAGTAGATGTGGCTTTAACCGGCTCTCAAAAGGCTCTCTCTCTTCCTACCGGGATGGGTATCGTGTGTGCAAGCCCCAAAGCTCTTGAGGCATCTAAAACTGCCAAGTCGTTTAGAGTATTCTTTGACTGGAAGGACTATTTGAAGTTCTACAAGCTTGGAACATTTTGGCCATATACACCTTCCATCCAATTGTTGTATGGACTAAGAGAAGCACTGGACCTCCTTTTCCTGGAAGGACTCGACAATGTGATTGCAAGGCATGCTCGTCTCGGAAAAGCAACAAGGTTACTCCTTTCCTTTTCCTTTTTAATGTTTTCCTTTCAGTTAAGTTATCTAAATTATTGTTTCGTCGGACAGATGCTAAGTCATGACTCTTTCAATCTTAAAATGTAGGCTTGCTGTGGAGGCATGGGGTTTGAAGAACTGTACTCAGAAGGAGGAATGGTTCAGTGACACAGTGACTGCAGTTCTTGTTCCCCCATACATTGATAGTGCAGAAATTGTTAGGAGGGGATGGAAAAGATACAACTTAAGCTTAGGTTTGGGTCTCAACAAAGTAGCTGGCAAGGTTTTCAGAATAGGGCATCTTGGCAACCTGAACGAGGTAACCTTCATTTTTCCATATCAATTGGCATGTGCATTTAGTGATTCATTAAACATCGTTCAGACAACCATTTTATAAATAAATCCAAGAAGGATAGTTGAGTACATGAAGACACTGCCGGCAGTAGCAACAAATAATGCACAAAAAATAAATAATAAAACAAAAAACTGTCCTTCAAATTGTATTAGAGAATCATGAAACAATTTGCCTGTCATGAATGAGTTCATCAGTCATGCATCAAGGGAAAAAAGAATATGATCAACAGTAAGAGGTCAATGCATCTTGTTGCCTGTGGGAGCTTCAATTTGTTTCCTATCAGCCTTTTGAACTGGTAATTGTGGGCAGGGAGACTGCTTTGGAATGTTTAAAGACTCAGATTCTTAGAGTCATAATAGCATCTGAATGGTCTCGTGGGGTTCGGAGCTAAACTAAAGATATAAAAATCCTGTTACTGTTTTAACTTTAATGTTTGTCTGAATATTTTTTAAGTTCTGATAACAATATACTCGATTAAGTAGCTGTAGTTCAATAGAAAATGCAACCTTTTGCTTTTATATCTATGACATAGTAGCGGATAAATTGAATCTTAATTATCAGTCATGGTAAATTGTTAGTGTCAAGACAGTCATAACTCTGCCAAATGGATCCTGATTCCTGAATTAGGCCCTCATTCTCTTCTTATGCAACATGATCTGTCAAGCATTTTCATTAATATTTCCTTGCCTTGGCATTATGACTAGGAAAATATAACCCACCCCAAAAAGTCATTTTTATGGTTGCTCTGCCTCATTCCTTATCTGCATTTAATTTTTTTCTCAGTTGCAATTGTTGGGCTGCCTTGCCGGAGTGGAGATGATACTCAAGGATGTTGGTTACCCTGTAAAGTTGGGAAGTGGAGTAGCAGCTGCTTGTGCTTATCTGCAGAACAATACCCCTCTGATCGCTTCCAGGATTTGATTCACATACCATCAATGTGATTATTCTTTTTCTGCTATGCGCTTCCAGAAACTCTAAAATATGAATGTTTTCCTTCCCGTGCTTGTACTCATTGAGACTCCCAAGGTCTCTTTATGTAAATCTCTGCTCCTTACAGTATCATGTATCTGAAACATCAAATCAAATTCTAGTTTTCTTTTTTAGAGAATATTTGAACATTTAAAGTATTCTCTAGTAATTCATCAACAAGACAGGTACTTCTGATGCAGATAATAATTATACAAGTTCTCGTTGGAACTAAATTGTGCTACATATTTTGGTTATAAGAGCAATCACTGTATGCCAAATCATACCGATGAGACCTAGGACTTGTAGTGGTTGCGATGTTTGGAGTTCATGGATGCTGAGGAAACTATATGGAGAAATACTTATTTCACATGGCTGTAGTTTCTTGATTGACTTGTGCCTCTCAATTTTCCAAGTTAGTGTCGTGTTGTATTCTTCTTGACTTGTGCCTCTCAATCTGTTTTTCTTTACAGATACATAAATTATCTTGTTTTTACAAAACATAGCTTCAAATCCTACTGCTTATTGCTATATGAGAGTAAGAGGTTCATTTAATTTGATGTTTCTGAAATGTCTCTAACGTTTCTTAGAATCTCTGTAGCTCAACATTCTGTGGATCTTACATAAACGATTTTAGCTTAGGTTTCCCCAGGAATCAGTGACTAGAGATTTACTAATTTCGTGGCTTCTTGGAAGGACAGAGCAGGAAAAAAAGACTCTTTTTAAAAAAACATACTGGCGGGGGATTTCATCTGACTCTTTTTAAAAAAACATACTGGCGGGGTATTTCATCTGCAGAAGAAAAGGATATGGAACACTAAAATACATCAGAAAACAGCGGCTAATTGTCTCTCGTCATTAAAACCACATTCGTTAAACCCTGCTTAATCTAACAGGTTAACCTGATAAAGTTACAATCTTATCTAGTCAAGTTTTAAGAATGTGTTTGATGGTAGCTTCCATGTTCAGGTGATGCCACAAGTATCAATTATTCGGTAAATGATAAATCATTATTTACTGTTAATGAAACTTATCAGAATTTACAAGCGCCTCTGCATGCCATTGAAAGCAACTTCAAGCTGCTTGGATAGTGAAGAGTTTCACTCTTCCCTGTTCACGTAAATAATAGAGAGACTTTTCATTACTTCGGTCAGATTAAGCATGGATGAATTTCAAACTAACTCCCATCCAGTTAAAAAAATTATATTATTTTTATTTTTAATTATATTTTACTTAAAAAATTAGTATTTAACATTATTTAATAACATTATATAAATTACAAGGAGATCGCTTAATGATGTAACATTTACAGAATTTGATCTCAATTTCAATTTTATTCCCAATCATATTTTATTTGATATTGTTGCGTACTTACGAAACCAATGAAATTGTAGATAATTTAATAAAATAATAAAAAATATTTTATATTAAGTATTATTCATTTCATAATGTAATAACATTAGTAAAATCTATAATATTTACACTAAAAACCATCAATATTATTATATATCTTTTTTAGTTATTTTATAATCTCAATTTGAAAATCATTCTTATAACTAAACACATTAAACTATTTTTTGTTCAACCTCAATTTCAACCATATTTTTAACTAAATATATATTTTTTCAAACCAACCTCAACAAAAAATACTTTTTATAAAATAATTTTTTTCAAACCACAATAGAATAACTACCATAATACTAAACACACTCTTAAATTGAATTGGTTTTAAATTGATTAAAGGAGGAGAAAAAAAATTAAAATTATTTTGGACAAAAATTATGAGTTAATCCACTTATTCATAAAATGATTTTATAACTTAATCACTCAATATTTTTTTTTTAAAGTTGAATCCTGACCGGTTGTTCAACATCTAGGATTAAAACTTGAGAAGCTTAAGATAATATTTTATTCCTTAAAAAGTTTGAAAATTTTTATTTTTTTTATTTTTTGAAGATATTTAAAAATTCTAATTGGTAAATCGTCTTACAATTTAATTTATTTTAGTTAAATTATACTGAATTCACTTAAATTTTTTAAATATAGAATCAAATTTAACCAAATCATTTTTTATGAGAGTTTATTTGAAGGGATGTTGGAAAGTATAGCAAATTTATTTTTTTAAAATATGTTTATTTAAAAATATATTAAAATAATATTTTTATAATTTTTTAAAATTTATATTTAATATTAAAATGATTTGAAAATATATAAAAAATAATTTTAATGTTTTTTTTATTTATCAAATTTCATTTGATATGTAATCCCAAATGGGGCATGGAACTGAGTCGGACATCAACCATTTTTGGAGTTTTTTTTTCTAATTTTATTTGAGTTTTTAATAAACCATTTAGAAGGTAACCGAAGATAATACACTTAAAAGATGTATTGTGACCTAGTTATCCGGACTGAACGGCCCACTGGACCATTAGCCTAGCCCGCTTATCTGTGACAGGAGAGTAGAAGTAGAAAATAAACGTTAGGGTTGTAGCTTTTAAGGTGGTCGAAATTTAGGAAATTCTGAGATCTTTCATCAGAAGCCTGAGCTCTCGACAGCTAACAAAACAGCAAGTAACTTGGTGCAATCACTCCTGTATTTTCTTCTGCTTCAACTTTCTGTCTGCATTTGCAAAACCCACTTCTCTTGCCTTGCAATTTCTTGTTTTTCCTATCCTTTAGCTTCGTTAGTTTTCGCTTGTAAACTGTTTGTTCTGTTACTTGAGAGAGAACCTAAAGTGTTTGTTCTTTTCTTTTTTTGGGTTTAGTTTGATAGTAGAATTTGAGAAAGCATAGAATACAATGGATGGAAGATTAGCGAATGCATGGAGATTAACAGTGAACGAGAAGAAATTCATAGAGACTGCTTTGGTTTCAAACCTTAGAATTGATGGTCGCAATCCTCTTGAATATCGTAAAATTAGCATCAAGTTTGGCAGGCGAGTTGCTTGTTAGTATAATTTTTTCCTATACTTCTTTTGCTCTTCAGTTTATGTTTCATCTTTTAAGCTCTCCTTTTGGTTTTACCCATTTTACTGTATTGTTACGTCTGTTTTTTATTATAAAAAAGTTGATGTAGTTTTGTTTGAATGACGCATAGGAGCTGCAAGAGGAAAAGAATAGTGGGGTCTCTTTGACGAGTTGTTATCGTGTCATAATGGCTAGTGTCTTGCCATAGTTTGGTTTTATTTCATAAGATTGCAAAGTTCATAGCTGAAAATTATTATATTGGGTTTTGATTTTGATTGAATGTTATGTTGTTTATGGTGAATTTGCAGAGAAGATGGGTCATCGGAGGTGCATCTAGGACAAACTCATGTAATGGGTTTTGTGACTGGTCAATTAGTTCAACCTTATCAAGACCGACAGAATGAAGGGATGCTTTTGATTTTCACAGAGTTCTCTCCAATGGCTGATCCTTCATTTGAGCCAGGCCACCCTGGGGAATCTGCAGTGGAGTTGGGTCGAATAGTAGATCGTGGTCTAAGGTGATTAATCTCTTCACTTGTATTTGGTTGAAGAGAATTTCTCTTGTTTACTGGCTTGATGTTATTCTTTGTTGGCAGTTTTATCAAGAAATGTTTCCCTAAGAATATCATATCTGTTCAAGCTAGGTTTATATATGTGTTCACTTGCATTTTCATAATCATACATTTCTCATAAGGGATTACCATGGTGGTGCCTCCATACCAAGTGTCAGCGCTGCACATGAAACATATGTTAATCCTTCAGAAGAATACAAATGTTTTTATAAGATGGTTCAACTTCATTTGAATATTTAATTGACCTTTCAGGGAGAGCAGGGCTGTGGATACAGAATCTCTTTGTGTTCTTTCGGGAAAATTAGTGTGGGCCATTCGTATTGACCTTCATATCTTAGATAATGGGGGGTAAGCTATCATTTTTTTTATGTTAATTTTTTTAATTTTCATATCTTAGAAAAATTTCTCTCATTAAGTTCTGCAGATCTGTGCTTTATTTCTTCTTTTACTAATACCTAATAGTTATCTTATCTATCCTGCAAACAGAAATCTTGTTGATGCCGCCAATATTGCTGCTTTGGCCGCTCTCTTAACATTTCGAAGACCAGAATGCACTTTAGGTGGTGGTGATGGTCAGGAAGTAACAGTACATCCACCAGAGGTTGACTCATTTAATGCTTTTAAATATTCACTTGTAATGGAAGCTTGAATTTTTACCAAGGAAGCATTTTCTTAGTTTTGAGTTTTTACCGTTAAGAACCAACTTGGCCAGTAAAATGTACCCCTTATTGTACTTGTACTGTATCTGTCTCTGAAATGTTGGATAACTCTCTGAATCGATACTTCGGAAAATAGTAAAATAAATACCTGTTGAACTTATTTTGTTTATCATTTCACACTCAAGATCTTTTAATTTGACTACCCTACTTTGCCTAGCTATCATTCTGGTTGCCTTTATACACAAATACAGATGATCAGAGTGCATTCCAACCCCATACGCGTTCATGTATCAGATTGATCACGTAGTGTGGATTTGGAGTGAAAAATGGTTTCATCATAATGCATGCCTTCCAACCCCGTACGCTTTCATGTATCAGATTGATCACATAAGTGTGGTTTTGGAGTGAAAAATGGTTTCATCATAATGCATGAGATAGACTTCGTGAAGAATTTTTGTTTCTTCAGACAAGGTCATTTGATAAATTATATAGATTAGCAATGTGCATAAATATGCCGTGATTGTTAGAAAGCTTCGTGCCTTCTTGGTTATTGTGTCATCCCTTGGGTTTACAAGCAATAATTCATTTTGTTCCACGCAGGGTATCTAAGAGGTCTTAACAGAATGGTAATCCTAGAAACTGTGATTCTTCATGCTGTGCTGAACTAAAATTACTCTCTTAAAGTTTGGAGCTTAATGTCCACAAAGTTAAGTTTCCTATAATAGGGACTTGGAAGTACACAATGAAGATTGGAATGTGTCTTGTTTAGAATAAGGGCAATACCAGGGAATGCTTGCTAGAACTGTGTTCACCATCCTCATGCATTGCAGCTGTGTGTATTTCCTTCCATAGAAATAACCATTTCATTGGCTCAGTAGAAGTAATTGAAAGCTTTCATCTCTGATGTTGAGTGCAATTGTTCTCTTGAAAGTCAGGCTCAGGCATTGTATTTTAAATCAACTGTTTTCCTTCAGAATAAGAGTCTAATACAACACTCTTTAATAGGGTCTCTAGAAAGTCACAGAGAGAGGAACGCTTCATATCTCATAAGTGGCCATGTTTCCATGATCTGCATCTTGAACTTGTCCACATAACAAATGGACCAGTTACTCTGAACTGGATATTAAGAAGTCCTTGTTAGAAAGTCTGCAACTTTCTTTTTTCTTCTCCCAGTAAAGGTTGTAGGCTTTAATGATATTGTTGTGGCAGCAACATTTCAGATGTTTTATTGACTTTCATCATTTGCATTTTTCATATTGTTAAGTTGATTGTTATTCATTGCATTGTGACAGGAAAGAGAACCGCTTCCTTTGATAGTCCACCATCTCCCTATAGCAATAACTTTTGCATTTTTAGGCAGTGAGGGAAAAATGGTGAGCAGATTTATCCTTTAGATTCTTTTGTGTTCACTCCCTATGCATATCGATGTTGTGTTCGAGAAGCTCACCAGCCAGTTCTTTTAATCTGAATGAGTGCTATGTAGGTGGTTGATCCTACCCACAATGAGGAGGCTGTTATGGGTGGAAGAATGACTGTAACAGTTAATGCAATTGGTGATATTTGTTCAATTCAGAAAGCTGGAGGGGAGGGCGTCCCACAGAGTGTTATTATGCATTGTTTGCAACTTGCTTCTATGAGTGCTGAATCCATAACAAAGAAGATAAATAATGCAGTGAGTTTATTCTCTTAAAAAGATTTCGAAAGTTGAGGTGCCATTTCTATTTGATACCAAATATTCATGCACTTTTAATGCAATCTAGTGTTTTTCTCTGTCAATTTGCTACTTTTTCAAGGATATAGCCATGGGACTATGTCTTTTGATCCAAATCTAATTTTATCATGTGAATTGATGGAGGTTGAAGCATACAGCACAGAGAGAGCATTGCGCAAGATCAAGCGCCACCCTACTGCTGCTGGCAATGTTAGTGTAGCTGGTAGTGATGTAAAAGAGCAAAATAAAACTGTTGAGCAGGTGGGAGGTAGTGAGTTGTCGAGGCATCATATGGAGAGATTGAAGCTGGTATCTGAGGAAACCTGCAGCAGTAGAAGTAATGACAATGATGGTGATATCAAATCATCTGAACAAGGTGGAACAACTCGAGCAGAGAGCAATGCTGTGAGTTTTCTTGGGGGTCCATCAAGCTGGTATGGTGCTAGCACCTTCTGATATTTTTTTTAAAGTACGAACTTTCTCTGCCAAAAGAAGATTTTACATCCATCTCTAAAATCATAACCATGAGCTTAGCATAGCACGTGTGCATTTTGTTGGAAATAGAAGAAAAGTTGTCTGAATCATGAATTTGATTACTGGATAAGGATCTCTTGGCCCTAACATAGTTTAATAACATTTGTTTCCAGACCTTTTCTCAGTTATATACTTTAATATTAGTTTATGGCTCCGTGTAATGGATTCAAGTCTGTATGATTACAACTTATGGAAAGAGAGAGTGAAGAGATATGGAAATGGGTTCTAATTAACCATTTCATAAGTTGGTTAGTTATCAAGCTGTCCTGGTTTTGTGGTAATTAGAAATCCTATAGGGTTATAATAGACCTTTCTTCTTGTTCTTGAACTTTTTGAAACTCTATTCTATATGGTTTAAGTAATTTTCAACTTCATTTGTTTCCTATCTTTGAATAATTACTTATAAATAGTGACACAGATCTTCTTCTCTCCTCAGGGATCCTTATTTGAAGGGTGTTGATGATGATTCCCTGAAAGCTAATGTAGCCTCACCCGGTATGCAACTTTTACAATTTTCTTAGAAGTATGAAAATGACCTTTGCTTCTATCCTGCTTGTAAATGGTTTTGCTCTTTTTCCCTACAAGCTTCATTCATATTTCACTCATTTGTAATACTGTAAAACTTCCCCATGAAAGGCAAATCAAAGCAGACTTAGAATAGTTCTTTTTGGATGGGAAGACAACTCTCGAATACATTTCACAAAGCAACAAGGAGACTGCAGATCTCCTGCCATTCCATTATTTATTTTTTTGATAGGATACAGAATGGCTAGTTGGTGCTGCATGAATAGCTGACAAGGAGACAGCAGATCTCCTGCCATTCCATTGTTCTGTGGCTAGCGTTATAGCCTTCATTATTTTGAAGCATAGCATTTTCTGTGAATTAAGGATACATTTTTAATGCCTGGGCATTTGGGTGTAGGGGAGTATAGTAATAGCCTTATTCCATAGAACAGGGTGCACTTATCATAGATTAATCTAATACATTGATGACCTTACAGTGGCTGCAAACCTTCCACCTGTGCACAGCTGCTTTGATCATTAATTAAATAGTGGATAATGAACCCATACATGCAATTTGAATACTTATATTTTTTTTAAAACAGGCAACGTTGTTTACTTTTTCTTTTTTTTTTTAAATTCTGTTTGTGTGCCAAAGCAACATATAGGTTGTTAGTGGTCGTGGAATCATATGTTCCAGCTTTGAAATGCATTGGAAGGGTTACATTCCAATCCTTTCTGATTCCTGCATGTATGCAGTCGACTTGGATGATTCTGTGATGGGTTACAGAGAGTATGCATCACTGACTTGCGTGTGAAACATGCAGGAATATCAATGCAGCATATGGAACAAAAAGAAAGTAAGGAAAATAGTCCCAAAATGGACACAGAGAAACCAACAGAAGATATTAAACAAGCCACTTTAGCTACAGATACATCTGGAACTGCACTGGAAACGAATGGAGGGAAAACTTTGAAGGATGCTGTGAAGCCCAAGAACAAGAGGAGAAAGAGGGCTTCCAGCATGAATGCAAGTTAGATGAACTTCTGAGCAGAAAACATCTACCTTGCAGGTATATAAGTGAAAGCTTCTTTTTTTTTCTTTGTATGGAAGCTCCATTATCACCACTCTGTATAACACATAGATGGACTGTTTGTTAGTATTTGAAACATTTATTTCTTGTACTGTGCTTCCTGCTGTGGAAGGAGAAGGGCTTGGGAGGTGCAAAGGAGAGGCTAACATCAAGTCTTTCCTATAGCAAATTGCTGTTGAATTTTTTGTTTTGTTTTTGTGGACGGTAGTTATCATCAGAGAGAGAGAGAGAGAGAGAGAGAGAAACCTGCCCTCGTTCTTTTCTAAAACCATCTTAAATGAGTGGAATATCAGTGCCATATCATGTGTTGGTTCCTCCTGACAAATCCGGTGCATTCAATGAAGTGAATTACCACCTTGGATATTCATTGTACTGATGGTTGATCCTTTTCAGATTCTTGAAACATGCTTCCTTCAATCCATTTATTAATGGTGGAGGGTCACTGGTGTTTAAATCTTTTACTTCATATTCAACAGTAGAAGACAATGAATCAGCAGCAGCTAGGATATACAGAAGTGAAGACCTGAAAGAAGCTTCTCTAAACTCAGAATATTCTCTTGCTAATGCTAATGGAGTATCGCATGTTGTGTTGGCTGCATGAGTGTTGTCACCAACTTTGCTTGTGCTGCTTACGTTGCCCATTGTTCGGCCATTTATTGCTTTGGAATTTTGGATAGGAGGTGAACCTTTTAGAGATTCTGTTTCAGTGGCAATGGTGTTCTTACTGTGTTCAAGTATTTTTGTTTCCTTAATACATATAGTTAGGTAGAGGAATGAATTCAAATTGTCATTCTCCTCTGTATAGAAGAAGTGTGATTTAATCAGGTACCTCTTGGCTGCCGACCTCTTCTCAAGGGGTCGGTCGGTTGGTTTGTTTCGCCGTATTCATCATTGAATAGGAGGAAGCATTCTCTGTTTCAAGTAAAATACAGGAATAGGAAACATCCATTCAACCAAGCCTTGTGCAAAACCTGATATGCAAGCCTCTCTGCTGAATATCTATCATTTTATTCTTTACATATCTTCTCATGTGATTGATTAATTTTTTCAAAATGCATTAAATCCATTATCCTTGATACTTTCTTCTGCTACTTTTGTTATTCTCATGCCATGCACCGGGAAATGCTGTGCTGTTTCAAGTGGTTGAGACTCCTGGCTTTAGGACAAGCCGACGCCCCTGCCTGAATGCAAACATGCTTTGTTTTCCACCGCAAAACTGATGATACATGGTCCTTTGGAATTGGCATCCTCTATGCCCGCCATTATTGATGAATGGGAAGCTAAAACAAGTAATTGCAGCGTTGGTACTGTAGAAGGTAGATTACAGGCAAGGTGGTTTCATGTGTTCTTCAAATGGGTCGCTAGTCACCACCTCAATCATGGATGATCATGGTGTGTGGATAAACGTGGAAAATGTAATATGGGATAAAAAGATCCCAATTGTAAGCGAGGGATAAAACCCTCCATTTTCGTGTCCTTGCTTTCACTTGTATGTATATATTCTTTTGCCTGCAAAAATTAAACCTCATTACTGATAAAAATATATATATTTTTAAATGTATTAATTTAGATATAGATTATATTTTTAAAATTTAATAAAAAAGAATTTAGTTTTAGCATTTAAAAGTGATCTGAAAATGCAATTGTCATGAATAATAGTAGTAAAAAAAAAAAAAACAAACATAAGCATCATAGAAGTGTTTTAGAACTAAAGGGTTAAACTGAATACTTTGATTAATATAGTTGTTTTTAGAAATACAAAGTATAATTTACATGTAAGAAGAAAGATGTTAAGAACACAGCCTAACGTAGTGAGTATTAATTGTACTCTCTACTGGAGTTTGGAATGGAAAAGTTTATGTAGCTTCATGGTTCAAGTTTTTTATTTCTCTATTTTTTTTAACTTTATTTATTTTTTAATTCTACCTCCCAAATTATTTTCAATCAATTCCATTCTTTCACATTTTATTAATTTTGAATCATAATTTAGTCTTTCAATTCTTTATTAATTTTGAATTAATTATCATAATTTGTTTCGGTTTGTTATCTATAAAGTTACTTGTCTTATATAAATGTCTCAACATATAATTGATGTGTTATTTTTGTAAACATCTATCTATTTTTATCATATCATGAAATAAAAAATTAGTATAAAAAAAATAAGTTAAGTCATGAAGTCAAAGTTGGTTTAATATATTGCTGTTTTAACATTAAAAAAATAATATAATTTTTATTTTTTTAACCAAATCAAGCTTTTACTTGTCTTCATCTTGTCTTTAAATTAGCCAAGCTGTGTAGAGTCAACTTTTATGTAGATTAAATTTAAATCTATGTTAAACAAAAAGTCAGATCAAGAGATTTCAAGGTTAATTTGTTGGGCTACGTTTAATAACAAATCAAAAAATTTTCTTTACTTTATTTTTAATTCCATCTTTCATGTTTTTCTCATAAACATTTTTTGCACTTTTTATATCAATTTTATATTCTTTAACATTTGGTTCATTTTGACTTTATCTTTATAACTTTTTTAAGTTTATTTTTTATAAAATTATCATGGTTTCAAATAAATATATTTAATTATTATTTTATTTCATGAATGTTTATTTTTTTTTATTATATAATTAAGTAAAATGTAATCATAATTTAATATATTGATATCTTAATATTTTTTTTAAAATATTATCTTGATTTAAAAAAATTAAATTATATTTTTCATAAATTGTCCAATTGCTTTTGAAACCATAAAATTAACTAAATTATATTAAAATATTTTTATATAATTTAAAATTTATTACTTAAGTTAAACAGAAAATTGAGTTGAGATTTTTTTAAGATTAAGTGATTAAATTTAATAACCATACCAAAAAATTATCATGATGTGAGATTTTTTTCAGGTTAAAAAGAGTGTTTTCATGATATCACGGGTGAACAAACGATTAGTATAACTAATGCTATTAATAACATTAAAAGACTCGATTGTAAGAAAAATTAATAACATATTATGCTAATTATTTTTTAAAAAAATATATTAAAATAATATTTTTAAAAAATTATTTTTAACATATCATCTACAAATATAAAAAAATTTTAATTTTTTAAAAACGGCATTTCTACATTAAAAACAAGGTCTAAATTTAAGACCTCCGTGGATTAAAACTGAAAGAAAGAAACAAAAAAGATATTGTCTTTCTTCTTCAATATTGTCTTTCTTCTTCATTTTTATAGAAAAGACAAGAGAGCAGCGTATTTCTTATTCTCTTATTATTAACAAATCGGAAAGAGAACGCTGTCAATGATTGATTGGCAGATGAAGAGAAGGAAACGAGCATCAGCATCATAATAATAACGAACAAATACAAAGCAGGGAAGGGAAGGGAAGGGAAGAGCCCTTCAAATGGGTTTCTCTCAAGACAATTTGAAAGGGTTTGTTTTGGCTTTGTCTTCAAGTGCGTTTATTGGTGCTAGCTTCATTATTAAAAAGAAAGGCCTTAGAAGAGCTGCTGCAGCTTCTGGTGTTAGAGCTGGTAAAAAAATTTCTTTTTCTGGCTTTTTGAAATGGGTTTTTGGTTTTGTGAAATGGGTTTGGTTTGGATTTTTAGGTGTTGGTGGGTTCTCATATCTCTTAGAGCCACTATGGTGGTTGGGCATGATCACAAGTAAGTTGGCCTTTTCTATGTTAACGACTTCTTTTTTGGTTTCGGGAAAACTTTATGTATTTCTTGTGCGGGAACTGCAAATTGTTATGATCTTGTTGTCTTATTCTTTGGAAAAGAATAGGTGTTTTGTTTATTTTTTTTTATAAGTAGGTTCTATCTTGTGATTCTTTTGATGTAATTGTGAAATTTAATGATTCGTAATGTCATTGAATTCCGATTCTTACATTGGTCAGCTTAATGCTACTGATATTTTTTTTTAAGTCGATTTCTTTTTTCATTTGGTAGCTTATGAATTGATCGAGTTTTCTCGTTCTAGTCAAATTGAGGAATGGTAGTTGGTTACGGGTACGGGAATTGTGATTTGTAATTGCCATCTGATAATCGCTGATTGTTCTTAGAATATCTCCTTTTGTATGGTTTCTCATATAGTGATTGTTGGAGAGGTTGCAAACTTTGTTGCATATGCGTTTGCTCCAGCAGTTCTTGTAACCCCCCTCGGCGCGTTGAGTATTATTGTCAGGTTTATCTTTTGTTAAGTTAGTATTGCATACTGAAACTTTTGGAATTTTGATATTAACTCTCTTCTTAACCACATTTCTTGTGTTTTATTTTTATTTTTATTTTTTAATGGTGTAGTGCTGTGTTGGCTCACTTTATCTTGAATGAGAAGTTACACCAACTAGGGATCTTGGGTTGTGTGATGTGCATTGCTGGTTCTATTGTAATTGTGATCCATGCACCACAGGAGCGCCCTATAACTTCTGTGCAGGAAATATGGAGTATGGCTACTCAACCAGGTTAGTTTGCAACTTCACATGCTTACCTTGTTAACTTACCTTGTTAAATTTAAATTGGTTTTTTTTTTTTTTGTTAACTTACCTTGTTATCATCTGCTGCAGCTTTTTTGCTTTATGTGGGTTCAGTGATTGTGTTGGTTTTCATTATGATCTTCTATTTTGCTCCACAATGTGGTCACTCAAATGTGTTAGTGTTCACCGGCATCTGTTCATTTATGGGTTCTCTTTCGGTAAATCATCTGAACCAGCAATGGTACTTTTATTTTCAATTATAAGACCAAATTTATGGATGTAGATACAGTTTTCTTTCATTTCAATCTGCATTAAAAAATAAAATAACTCAATAAATTAACAAACCATTGTGCATTGATGGGGATGGAGTTTCATTCATTTTGAAGTTAAAAGGTCTGCAATCATTGAATTGCCGTGGAAATTCACTACTCAATGAACAAAAATTTAATTATGTGCAAAAAGAACTTTGCTATGATAATTTTAAACCAGTTGATTGATAAAAATGTTATCAGTTCTGTTTCTTGGCAAACATAAGGTGGGAAATATTTCCGAGTGCAATGATGTTAAATGTTTATGTAATGGGGCTTTGGCCAATACAATTGCTTGAATATTTATCCTCTTTGACTAGGATGGAAGAATTGAGTAAACCTCACTTCCTTTTGTTTAATTTTCTTTAATACATTTTGTCTCCATATCATGTGCAGGTGATGAGTGTTAAGGCTGTTGGAACTGCACTGAAATTAACGTTTGAAGGAAACAACCAATTACTCTATCCAGAGACTTGGTTCTTTGTGTTTATTGTGGCCACATGTGTCATCACGCAAATGAATTATCTAAACAAGGTTAGAAATTTGGAGATTTTGCTTTTTTGTTTGCATGAATAAACTTATTGTGCTTAATCTCCAGAATCTTGCTTCTGCCTAAATCTTCCTCCTTTTTCTCCTTGATCTTCTATTTTCTGTATTGCTTCCTTTTAGATGTCTTTTCTCTATGTTCAGGATTGCTTGCTTTCCTGATCTTTTACTTAAATCACTCATATCTTTAAGCAGTCGTGTCCAATGAATTTGACTTGCTGTTGGACATATGGAATGACCTGGTGCACCTTTTGCCATTGTTTTACTCGGCAGCTAGTTGCTGTTCAGAATATTTGACATTCTTCCAATTCTACAGATATGATTGAGTTAATTACAGAAAAGCTCTCTGTTACCTGTGTAGTTTGCATATCCCTACTGCTTTTCCAAATTTCTTTTTTTCACATTTTCCTTTCCAAAATTTAATTTGGAATTCAAATTGATGGCATCAACATAACCATTAATTTTTTGTTTTTATGGAAAACCCTATACTCCCCTGTCTTTTAATGGTTTCTTTAAAAATGCTAACGTGATTATTTTCTCACTATTCTATTGTGATTTTCCTCTCATTTTTGTGATTGGTGATGGATCGACAAAGTTGAGACTTGAGCTCTAGATCTCACCCCTCTTGCTTGCAAGAGCATCATTGAATTATGAGCCCATTTATTGCATTGCCAATTTTTCTCTATCTTGATTCTCAC